GTCTTGGAGGGTCCAGACCCCCTCCCTTTTATTACGAAATCTGGAGTACTCCTGCCATCGCTCGGACGGCCATTTCCCGTACATTTTTCGGCATCGTGCGTGTGTTTTTGTTGCTCGATGGTCCAGGAGGGTCCTCGATGGCTCTCGCCGAGAAAAAAAATGCACACGCCCGAGCGATGCCAAGGTACTGGGTGGTCCAGCGGACCAGCAGTGACACTGCCCACCTGCGCACGTCCAGCTGGACAGGTGCCCCACCCAGTGGGGAGAATCCCGTCGACGCCCCGCCGACAAACGGCCGACCAGCGTCTGACGATCGACTGCGCCCGTCCGCCGCCCGTCCGACGACTGCCCCACGACCGTTTGCCGACAGCGCGCCGACGACCGCCGCCGACGGCCGCCGACCGATCGTCGGCAGACCGACGCACGCGCCTGACGACCAGGCAGCCACGTCCAGATGCCATCCCACTGGGTCCCTGCGACCCCCTCGGAGATTGCACTCGTACCCGCAGGACCACCAGGCCCACGCGACAGCCAGACTGCACGCTGCCGCGCACGCCATGCCACTCACCCCGCGCCGCGACGGGGCCGGCGTGCCCGCCCTCCTCCTGCCCGCCCCGCGTTGGACCCTCCTTCGTGGGCTCGTCTGGCTGGCCACCGCCGACACGCTTCCCGGCCCTGCACTGCAGTTTGCACATGAGCGCGGATCCTGGTGTACACGGGACCCTGGTCTATACATGTCCCGTTGATCCCCTGGGAAACGAAAAACAGTACACCCCACCCCACCCCGACGTCGTCCCCGACCCTCAACAAAAAGTCCTGGGGTTGAAAAACAGCCCGCCGCCGGCAATGTATATGTTCCAGCTTCCGCAGAGGAGGAGGCCAGGAGGAAGCGGAGGCCACCGGGCCGTCACGCCCGCGACGGCGACACCGCCCCCAGGCCAGAGGCTGCACGCCGCGAAAAAAACACAAACCACCAAACTTCGACCCGCGGCGCACTTGCGCACCACGCCGGCACCCCACCCTACGAACCCCGACGGTCCCTGTCGGCCCCCTGTGGCTCCCAAAGGGGCCCCACGGCCCTCGACAGCCTCCGTTACCACCAGGCCGTCGCGCCATCTCACTCTGGGCGCTTGCCGCCTACCTGGTTCACTTCACTTCAGTTACCGATCTCCGACCCGCCGCGCTCGGACCCTTGGGACTGCGGAAGAAAGCCCCTCCCTGGCCCGACACGCTGACAGCGAACCAGTGCCTCAGGCTCCGTGCTTGAGCACTGTGTCCTCTGCCACGTGCCCTGCCCAGGACAACGCGACTCACTCTGGTATGCGGCTTCTACGCCCTCACTTTCTGCCTAGGCGACACCCTTGCGCGCCATGGCGCTCCGAGCGCGATGTTCATGCGAGCCTTCTTCCGACACCTCGGAAGCGGACCACGCCCATGACCGACGCCTGTCCTGGCTTGACGCCTTCAAACACCGCTGGGTCCCGACGTACCGCGACGACGACGACTTCACCCGACCCAGTACTCCGACGCCGTCTGACGACTGACCGACAGCTGTGTTGCCTCTTGGGGGCGCCAGCCCCTTGGCTCTTGCTGCCCCGCGGCGCCGCTGCCATGATCGCCGTCTTTCGCTGCCGTCACCCGTCTGCCCCTCTCGGGCGAGCACCGCCAAATGCCATGCCTGCGCAGTCACAGGACCAGCTTGCACGGCACATGGCAAGCGTCGTCGGGTGAGGGCCCCTGCGCACGCCCAGTGCGCAGGCTGCGACCAAGGGCCCAGCCCTTCGTTTCGCGCTGAGGCCTCCTCATCTTGTCCGCAGCTGTCGTAGCTCATCTATCTCGCCTGCCCCGCAGCCGTATCGGCTCAAGAGCGATTCGGGCGGCGCAGGCCCGCCCGGCGGCGTGCCCCAGCCTCCCAGCTCCGCAGTCCATCTTGGGCCGCTCTGTCGCCGTGATGCTGCTCGTGGGCCACGCCTCGGCGTGCGCGCGCGGCCCCGGGGCGCGCGCGCCCGCGCCGCAGCCGCGCGCTGCCGTGGCCGCGCCCCCACGGGGGGTGCGATCCCCCCCCCCCCCTTTGCGCCGAGGGGCGGCGAAGCCAGGGGCGGCCGCGCCTGCGCGGCCGCTGGCTCTCGCGCCCTACCCCCCGCAGTCGCGCGCGTGGAGGCCCCCTGCTCCCCCCTCCCCGCTCGAGGCTGAGTTGCTCGCGCCTCTTCGCGCCGGGCCTCGCGATCATCGCCCATGGCGCTGTCGCCCGCGCGCGCCAAAGCGCGCTTCGACGAGGAAGAGGAGGAGGAGGAGGAGGAGGAGGAGGAGGA